TTATTCATTCCATATTTGCACTGTGCTGGATGCGGACATTTGTACCTGTACCAGGAGCCCACTTCCCCCCGTCCTCCTGCTCTGACTACCTGGCAGTGTCTGTCCCACTCTTCCCTGTTTGAGGGGGAGAGTCTTGTGACTTGCACCTGCGCTGCCCAGGTGATGCTTGCTGGACCTCACAGTCCTGCGTCCCGTGGGGCTGGGCCTCGTTCCTCGTGGGAAGGGACATCTCATTGAAGTGTGATGGGAAAGGCCTGCCTGACCCTCCGGGGCCAGCCTCTCCCAGTACCTAGAACTGCCTTCTCCAGTCCTGCCCAGCCTTGGGAGAACACTGAGGGCTGAAGGCGCCCTTTCCGTGGGGTTTGCCTCACTGTGTGCTTGTTCACCGAGTCCAAAACGGTCTGGGTAAAGCCTGGCGGCTGGGGAGTGAGGTCCAGGTGGGAGCAGTGTGATCGTGTGTACAGTGTGCAGGCGATGACCCTGGAGTTAGGAAAGAAGGAGCTCTAAGAGCAGGAAACTGCACTATCAGTCAGAGACATGAGCCTTCCAAAGTCAAATGAATAAGTTTCTTAAGAAAAAAGTGTCTTGAGCTTGAAAGATGGAGAGGCAGGCAGATTAGGCGTGGGGTAGGCTGGGGGCTGCCGCTGATCTTAGTCCTGGGTCCTACATACCTGTCTGTCATTAAACCTGCTGTGTGCTGTGTGACGGGGGTAGTAACGGTGTGTTTCTGATGCTTTGATCTCGGGAGGCCTGCTGACCCTGGCGGGACTGCCCCTCTCAGGGTTGGCTGATTCCTAAAGAGAGTAAAGGGGTCACCTGGGAGCATACCTTCTGTATCCAAACCACCAATCCAGGACCCATTCCTTCAACCGCCTCCTTTATCAGGCTCTCACACTCCCGGCCACTATCCCTCTTCCCTAATCACCCCAGGGCCAGGTACCAGAATCTAGGTACAACTCCAGACAGCCCCTATGCCCCAGAGCCCACGAAACGATTCTCACCAGCCTATCCTAAGCCTTCCTCCTGAAGGACCCTGGCGCTTCCCGTGTGTCCCCTGCTCCCCATGGCATGGCTGTTCCCTCCTCTTGGGAACTGTGAGTCACACACACACTGCCTTTTCAGTGGCAATTTTCCTGGTCTGTGGGCCTCCCCAGGCCTGAATAATGATAAAACCTACGTTTTAAAACGCAGGAGGAAGTCCGAGCTTCGATTTTTCTCACCACTAAAATGAGAGATTGGATTACATGGATTTTTTTTTTTTTTTTTAAGTCTCTTTTAATGACGGAGATAGGCTTGGGAGGTAGTGGGTCTGCTGCCTCCCCGCTAACTTCTGCCGGGGCCCTAAGCCTGGGGACTCTCCCCTCCCCCGCCGCCGCGCCGGGGCTGAAGGGAGACGCGCTGCGCCGACCCCTCCCTGCTCACTGCCGGTGGGCACACCTGGCAAGCCCCAGGAAAGAGCTCTGCCGCCTCACGGTGGGACTTGGAGTCTGGAACGAAAGGCAGAGAGTGCTCAGGCCTTTCGGAAACGGAAAGGTTACAGTTCAAAACAAAACTCCGACTTCAGTCGCCAAAAACCCTCCCTTTATTTAGACTCGGGTTTGTGGATCTTCCATGGTTTGCTTTCCCAGAACGGCAGAAGTGCCCGTCCCCCCGTCCACCCCCCACCCCAGGAGGAATTCTGTCCTCAGCGTCTGTCTGATGGGAGCGCGGCACGAGGTCTGCCCTCCTCGCGAACGTCTCCCTGCACAGTCCGCTCCTTTGGGCGCGGGCAGCAGGTCACTGAAGCTGGCTGGAGCGTCTTCACCGCGCCGACCTGCAACTTCACCCGCTTTGCGCGACAGCTCCCCTTCCCCTCCCCCAGCCTCTGGAAACCACCACTCCGATCTCCGATTCCAGGAGTCGGGCTACTTTAGATGCCTCATATAAGTGGAATCGCGCGATGTTTGTCCTACTATCTGCTGTGTCTGTCAGGCAGTGTTCTGGACTCTGGTGTTGCTCCGGCGTGTTGAATGGATGCCTGGACCTGGGCACAGGACATCAGGGGTCGCTGCCCAGCACAGCTCACGCAGACTCACAATCGTCTAGGACCAGGCTGCTGTGATTGTGGCCCAGGGTAGAGAGGTCAGCGTTCAGCTCTCACGAGTGAACGCTCCCCCGGTCTGTAGTTGCTAGAAGAATAGTTTTACCTCGTACATCCTCTAGATGGTGCTACTTGTCAAGTGTGAGTGTTTTGTTTCTTCTCTTTTTTTATTTCCCTCCCTTTACGTTGAAGCCCTTGGCATCTCACCGTGGCCCCAAAGGCCTGAGCGAGTGTTCGCTGTCTTAATGGAAAGTTACGGTTGTCACATTTGGCGAGTGATGTCACAGATGATTTCAAATGGAAATAATCCTCACCTCTGGGTATTTCAAAATAAGTTGTGTAGGAATGCGATGTGTGACTTGTTTACGCGTGTGGCATGTGGCTCTCATTCTTCGTTGCATGCCTGTTTGATCGGTAATCCTGTGTGCACGGAAGGTGGTTGACATTCACGGGCCTGCGACTGGAAGGGGAGGGAGGAGTGACATGTCAGAGTTTAGGCAGAGTTCATGCTCTTTCCTCGTCCCTTTCTCTCCCCGGTTCAACTTTTCTTTAGATAAGAAAACTCTCCGGAAATCCTGATTCATCACCAGCCTCCAAATGTCTCCTTTGTCTGTTCTCCATACTTACCGAACGGCCAGCAGGACACATTCATTCCTTTCTGTCCTCAGGAGTCTCCTTATCGCACACGCATTCATCCGCAGGCGTAGCGCGCTGATTTCGCACTGATCTGGGCATCATAGTTTTAATTAGGGAGACGAAGGGGTCATTTAGATGCGTAGGGAAACTTTTGTGATGGGGAAAGAAAACTTCAGTGGGGGCTGTTCCGGCGGGAGACTCTGGGCTTTATGAAGGGCGGGCGAAGACCTGCAACTTTACCCGCTTTGGACAAGGACGCCCTGAGGGAAGTGACGCCATGCGTTGCCAGGTACCGCTGAGCACTGCTGGTCTCCTCCTCGCGTGCAACGCTCTCGTCCCTCATGGCCACCCTGGGAGCGATCTCTTAGTAAGGGGATGTCAAAGGGATGGTAACCTTTGCTAGGGGTCCTGATACGCCTGCGTGTGGAGAGGCTCACCGACTTGCAGGCATCTTAGTTGTTCCCAGGAATTGCTTTGCGTTGACGAAGTCTCTGTTGAGTGGACTCAGAGTCTTTGGAGGAGAAAAGTTTGGTTGCCCGTTGGTGTAAATGGGTGGGCCGCAGCTCTTGGTGCAATTTGTTAGATGTCACTGGCAACGTTTTATGGCTTTGGTCTATTATTTGGGGCCGTAGGTGGCCATCTGCAGGTGAAGCAGGTCATCAGGAGAATTGTGGGGCCTGAGCAGGCTCAGGTTTCTTGTTACCCTGGGTTTAAGGGGAGTCAAATGTGAAGTGAGGAGAGAGAGACTCAGAAAAGGAAGAGCCATTATCTAAGTAGTTAATCAAATTGGATGAGTAGTTTTCAGTTTTCTCTTTGTTGTTCATTTCCGTATGAGAGTCTGAAGACTTCTTTCTTGTCTTTGCTTTCCTTTATTTCATTCCCTAAGCTGTGATTCCAGCTCCAATATTTTATAACTCACCGATCTGGAGATGCAGACAGTATCTTGATGAAGGAAGGGTAGGAGAACCGAAGAGAGAAATAAGGCTGACGAGTGAGCAGCGTTTCCTACCGAGCCTGTGGAGTGTGTCCTCACCATGGGGCGCAGACAGGGGAACCTCAGCTGCGGTCCACACTCCTCGTGAAGCCGCGGAGTTGTCCGAAGTAGGTGACAGGAACACAGTCCGTGCAACTTACATCGCTTCTTAGCTAGACCCAGGGTTCTTACTTGCACACATCTTAGCAACTTTTTCTAAGATGTTGGCTGATAAAGGCTTAAACTATCACTTCTTCTTAGGGGTTTTTGCACTTTTATTAAGAGTATTTGACTAAAATCCTAACTCCTTAGCTTCGTATTCAGTGTCCTCTGTGCTGTGTTCCCAGTCTTACGTTCCTAGACATATTTCCCCTTTACATGCCCTTTAAGCTAGCCAAGTCATCGGACAGTGAGCTCTTCCAAGGCAGGTAGGTGTAGGATTTACTGTTTGTTATTTGTGGTAGATGCTCAATGAGTCACAGTTCCCTGAATTCATACCCTGTGTAGTCCCCTCCCTGGCCAGATCTGGATTGACCTTATGACTTGCTTGGACAAATAAAAATATGGTAGAAGTGACATTGTGCGGGTTGTGGCCTAGGCCATAAGGAGCACTGTGGCGTTTGCTTTTGCTCTCTTGCTGTCTTGAATCCTGTGCGAGAAAACCTGGGCCAGCTTCCTTGAGGTTGTGAGTTCTTGGGAGAAAGAGAGGCCCTGGAGTATGAAAGACCGTGAGGAGAGGGAGCAGGACATCTAGCCGCTAGTTGGTTGTAGTCATTTGGGCTGAGGTGCCAGACTGTGTGTGAGGCCACCTTGGATTTTCCAGTCCTGGTGGAACCATGAGGTGATTGTGGGGTGGAGGAGAAGCCATGCTCCTGAGCCTAGCATAGACTGCGGAACCGTAAGCAACTAAATGGTTGTTGTTGTCGTAAGCCACCGAGCTCTGGAGTATTTGTTACACAGCAATAGCTGGCTGATACAGTATTGTAAGTCATCTTTGTGTCGGCACGCCAAACAGGGTTTCATTTGTTAGCTCACTATTTCCTAGACATGCTTCACACATTCGTGCCTCCTCACGCACCTGTGCTCAAGTTTTTCCAACCTGGAAATCCAACATGGAGAAATGGATATTTCCCCTTTATCTATCAAAATACAATCGATCCTACCTTCTCTGACACTCCAACTAGAATTGATCATTCTCATTCCGAACAACTTTGGTGCCTCTTGCTATTTGGCGTATGTACTACAATTACATTTTTAACTTCTCTTTTAAACAACTTTATTGAGCCGTAATTCATTTATCAACACATTCACTCGTTCGAAGCATATAACTTAATGAGTTTTAATATATTTGCAGAGTTGTACAACTGTCACCATATCTAAGTTTAGAATAGTTTCAGCACTCCAGAAAGAAACCCCAGACCCATTAGCCTGTCACTCACTTTTCATTCTGCCCAAGCCCCAGCCTGAGGCAACCACTAATCTACTTTTGGTCTCTACAGAATTAGAATTTTTTTTTTGTCAAGTCGAAGAAATCTAATTGCTTTGTGTTGACTAAGTAAAAACTCTAAAACCTTCTTCAGACCCCCAGGAATGACTACGCAGTGGTCCAGTTTCATGTTCAGTAACAGGAGCAGAGAGAGATTTTGTTGAGGAAGGTTTCCATGGCACCCAGGCATTGCCCCATATCTGCAGCTCTGTCACTTTGTCCTCAGAGATAACAGAGTGTAGTGGAAAGCGAGCACAGTGGCGTCTTGGGTCCGGCCTCGCCTCGGCTGGTGACTGGTTCTGCGGTGCAGGGCTAGTCGTCCAGCTTCTCTGAGCTTCAGTTTTTTCAGTGATAAGACTTCCTGGTGATAATGCGGGGATCAGATGAAATGACACGCGGGAGACACCTCCCATTGTTCTGACGAAGTTATTTTCTTTCTCCTAATGCTTGTCCTGTGAGCCCCTTTCACTGCATAGTTACTCGACGGTGGCTCTGTCTACCAGGTCCGCCCCCCGCCAGCTACCGCCTCGACTCTGCTCCAAGTTGGTTGTCCTGCTTGGATGAGGAGGAATGGGTGAGCCACGGCCCCATGGGTGGGGGAGGGGGCGGGGTGCTCAGATCGCTGGGGACAGTGTGATGGTACCAGGGGGACATGGGACACCCTAGGACCAGGCATTCCCAGGTTTTTTATCAGTCCCTTCCAAGGGTAAGATTTTGGACTATGGCTCTTCCTTTTCTAGTTTTCCTAATAATGGCTCTTTGGGGACACATGTCTGTGCAGCCATTTGGTTGCTGACTGGGTCAGTTGCAGATCGCCAGTGTTTTTCTATAGATTGGCTGACATGATTCGCTCACACAGAAAGCTGCCTCTGCTTCTTGGTGGTTTGGTCTCCCCTAGAAGAGACAGCAGAAAAAGACAAATGTGGGGAGACACAAGGCCAGACTTCTCTGAGTACGCGGCGGATTTGAGAGACTCTGTTCTCTTGGCCTTTCTACTTTCACAGAATTTATGATTGGGTCCTCATGTTTCATCCTGAACTCACGTGGAGAGAGCAGGCGGGGAGCAGGCTGCTCCACGTGCAGGGTTGATTACCTTCCTCTGACTTCCTTCCAACCAGGTCACCGCCCGCTCTCTGCTGGGGATCCCCACCTCGGCGGCACTCCCGGAGGTGGGGATGGGGATGAGACAGCACAAGCAGAGCAGTTTCTACAGAGTCAGGGCGTTTTGGGGACAGAGTTGCTCACTTACAGTGGAAGAAGCCGCGTGGGAGAGCAGAGCCCCTGGCAGAGACTAAAAAGTGAGGCCCTCTTTTGCTTGGTTTCATGGGACGAAATGGGCATGCTCACTCAGCCCAGGGCTCTGATCTTTGGTTCCCATTTTGGGGAAGAAAGAGCAAGAAGGGCCTTTTGGTCCTTAGTTTTTAGCTAGTCCTGTAGTCACGATACCCCTAGCTCTGAAGTCTATTCCCCGCTACCCCTTCCCCCCAAACCTGCCAGATGTTTGGCGAAGTTCTAGACACTCTGCTGCACATTCTTGGGTCTCTGCATCTTTGCTCTGCCCAGGCTGCTGGCTGTTGCTGCATGTAGCATCCCCGCGCTCCCAGTGCTGGACTGGGTCCTGGCGGCCCGGTGAGGAGTGGGGGGTTTCAGATGACGGTTCTCTTCTGAAAGAGAATTCCCATCAGCAGCATGGTGGCTTCTGCTGAGTGTACTTACCTGTGAATCTAGCTCTGTCCTTGGTCAGAAGGGCTCAAAAGGAGCCTTGTTAGTTTCTTTCTTCCCAGCCAGGGCCCCAGGGTGAAAGAGAAGAAGCTGCCTAGGTGCCGGCCCTGTGACGGAAGGGCAGGAATAGGGGCTGGGGACGTGAGGATGTGAGCGAGGACACGCAGGAGCCCCGCGGGCCTATCCCTTTGATTGTTTTCTCTCTGCTCCCTTTTCCACTCGCAAACCCCCACATTCATAAAGGAGGAAGTGATGTCATCGCATGTGTGCCTGCCTCCCCTTCGTGAGATGCCTCTGGGTCACCACTTCCTGTTTCTGAGTCATCAGGAAGGTGATTTCCCCCCACGGTGCTCAATATCCCCAGGGACACTGGGATCACTCAGCATCTACCCAGTATCCTCTTCTCTCCTTTCTTTAAAAAATAAAAATCACCTCCTCCACTCCCCAAAAAACACCTAAACTAAACACAGTACGGCTGCTGGGCTGAGCTGCTGCGAGCTCGCAAAGTGCACAGTGGATTGCAGCCCTCGGCCTCTGTTTGGAAGGATGGCTGGGTGCCTGGATTTAATTGGATAGGTAATTACAAGTGAAGATGACTCTTGAGTGCCTCTCCTCCTGCAGCAAAATCTGCCCTAGATCTTGCCTACTAAGGGAAGGGGGAGGGGTATTTGGCTGCCCCTCAAAATAAAGATTGAATCCATCGGCCAGAATAAGATAGCCCAGGAGGCAGGAGATGGCACTGGAAGGGTTTGTTAGTGTTAGCTGAAGCAAACCTTCGGGGAGCCAGCCCCCCACTGCATTTTTCCTCCTGTCTTTTCTGTTTCTCTCCCTTTCCAGTTCTCCCTCCCTCCCTTCCTCTCCTCCCTTCCTCCTTAAATCATGCCCCACACTTGCTCTTTGCCTAGTTTTCTCTTTCTCTCTGATTTTCACAGGAGGGAAATGACTAGTGGGACCAGGAATACGAACCAAGTGCTTGGGGCTCAGTAGTTCGTTTCACAACCATTTATGGTCTCCTAAGTGCTTTGCTAGGTACTGGGGCTCGGAGATGCGTAAGATACCCTTCCGGCCTTCACGAATCTCACGGTCCGTGGGGACAGTTTGTTTAACCATGCATCTGCGCATGGACACTTAGGTTGTTAAATGGTATTTTAAATAAAACACGGGTAAGATGAGAGGCTGGGAGGGTCAGGCCGAATTCAAAACTAGCGAAGGGAAAGGAAGCAGGATCTTGGGTGCATCTGTGGTGGGTTTGCCTGGATTAGTGAAGGGGCGTCCGTTCTGCTCAGGCTGGTGGCAAGGAAGCCAGTGGTGGAGATGGCGAGTGTAGGTGTTTGTAAGGGCCCAGGATGGGGACAGAGCTCCTGCCTGATGGCCTCAATTTTCTGGGCAGAAGTCGGAAGGGAGGAGGGACTCTCGGAGACGGGGCCGGGCGGAGGTGGGGTGAGAAGGGTGGAGAGCAGAGGGGCCCTATGAGCTTTGCTGGGGCGGCTGGGGCCCCACCGGCTGGAGACCTGGCTGCACCGATGATCACCTTCCGCCGCGCCCAGGGACCCCCACTCTCTTCACAGTTTCCTCTTCATTTCCCTTGGGCTCAGAGCTGTTAAATTATCACTGGGACTAGAACTGAGGGACTTTAAAATAAGTGCCAAGGCCAAGTTGTCACAGAGAGGAATCTAGAGAACCTCCCCACTGAGCCAGGCCTCCGAATACTGCCTCTGCCTTGTGGCTGCAGCCTGGGCTTGGGCTTGGGGACGAGAGGACCGTCCTGAGGCAGGCCCTGCGTGGACCTGGGCAGGCTGTGGGCCAGCTCCCAACCTCCGCGTCTTCGTCTGTCAAGTAGAGATGAACACGGGAGCTGTGACACGGGGTGGTGTGAGCCTAAATGAGAATGACGTACGCAAAGCTCGTGACCTAGCCGGTGGCCACCCTGAGTGGGCCCACGGCGCTGTGCTTTGCAGCCCTGCTGTCTTCTCTGCCGGTCACGGTCTGGCCTTGTGCACTGGAGTCGCACGCACCCTGTCCACTTAATCTTCATCCCCTTCCAATGGCCCTGGCGGTGAGAAGATCTCAGGTGTCACAGCTGGTCCGGTGAGCACCCCTCCCATTGTGTGTGTCTTCTGGGTGCGGCAGGCCCGATACAATTTCATGTATTATTTGGGCTCATTCACTGGGGTTATTCTGGAAGCATGGCTTTGTGAGGCTTCTGGGAGCCTGGCTGGGAGTTATGTAACCGCTTCAGTCTGGTGCACTGAAGCCAACGCCTCCGATAGCGAAGGGCCCTCAGCCGGCAGAAAATTTGCTGGCAAAGCCAACGAAATGGAGCTGCTCAGCTCCCGAAGGAGAGAGGGAGCTTGGAGGCTCTCCTTTCTCCAGAGACTTGTGTGTTGACTGACCTCGGTCATGAGGGGAACGATGAGGAAGGAGGGGCGGAGAAGAGACAGAGGTGGATTCCTCATTCCTGTCCCCGTGCTGGGGACAGGTGTCTCCGGAGGCTGCGACCGGAAGGGAGAAGGGCACAGAAGAGAAGCGGGGCGGGCAGAGGAGGAAAAAGAGAGGAAGGAAAGAAAAAGGAAGGGAGGACGGGGGAGGAGGGCATTGCGAGAGGGAGGAGGGTGTTGGGGGAGGGAGGATGCCTCAGAGGGCACGTTAAGGCTAATTCTGTTCCAGAGGCCCCTGCCTCCCAGAACTGCACGCTCCCTCTCCTTGAGGTCATTCTGCCCCTTTCCCCTCAGAGGCTCTTGTGGGGGCAGAGCCTGCTCTCCCTAAGGTTTGAAAGTTCAAGTTCCTAGAGTACAGTTTCCAAGCAGAGGAACTGGAGAAGGGGAGGATGACAAGAAAAAGTGGCTTTTCAGCTAGTGGGTGGCTTGTCCTTCGTTCTACAAAGGCTGGTCTTAGTTGCCTTCCAGTTCCTGTCGCTGGCCTACTGCAGGCGAGTCTGCAGAAGCAGATCCTCTATAGGAGGATCCTTTATAGGACAGGCGGGAGCTCTGTCCCTGTCCTGGGCCCTACAGGTTGATGACCGTCTGCTCTGTGCCAGAAACTTGCAACACATCATGTGTCCGAACACTTAACTTAGTTCTATGAGATAGGCGCTGTTATTCCCGCTCCACAGGTAGGGAGTCCGAGGCTCCTGGAGGTTAAGTAGCGTGGTCCAGGTCACATGGCTGGTAAGTGGCAAAGGCAGTTCTCAGCTCCAGTTCTGCTGGGCTCCAAAGCCATTTCGTGTGGCACTTTACACAGCTCAGATATTCTGTCATTTCTGTCTCCAAACTATGTCCCCATTCTGTCCACTTCCCCTCACGCCCACTGATACAACCAGGCCAGGTCATCATCATCCTTACCTCGCAATTTGCAAGAGCTTCTTAACTGGTTTCTCTGTTCCTGCTTTTGTCTCTCTCCACTGTGTTCTCACAGAGCTGCTAGAAAACTCATCTTAAAAGGCAAATTGCCTTGTGTCATGTCTACACATAAAACTCCCCAAGGGCTTCCCCGTGCACTTGAACTAAAATCTGGACTTCCTAGCATGGCCTGCAAGATCTGCTCTCTTGGAGAGTCTGAACTCATTACACAGTTTCATTAATGCCACCTTCTTTACTCAGCATGCTCTGGCCATGCTGGACGTTCAGTTCTTTTCTGCCTCAGGACCTTAGCACGTGCTGCCTTCTCAGAATAGAATGATGTTCTCTCCAGTCTTAATCCTTATGTATAGTTTGCGTGTCAGTTTAAATGTCACTTCCTAATGGAGAAGAGACCTTTCTTGAACTCCAGACCTGAATCAAACCATCCTCGTGCTCGGAGCTTCTCAGCAGGCAGAGAGGGAAGCAGGATGAGTTACAAAGAAAGATCTCGCTGTCAGAAAAGAGGAATACTAGTTTTTCATGGGTAAGAGTTTCCTTTGGCACCGAATTCCTTCATGGGGTCTTTCTTGGGAATCGTAAACTGACGTAAATCATGTGATTAAGGGTAAACTGGATGGACAGAAAATACCAGCACGTCCCAGTCCCAGAGAGCTCTGAGAGAGGGGCTGGCCAGGGAAAGCTTCACAGAGCTTTTTCTTGTGGATGGAAAGGATTTGGCATAGCTTGGGGAAGAGACAGCCTGGGTAGGACTTGATGAGTATGGGAATGAAAGCATGTGAAGGGACCTAACACATTGCCTAGGGTGTAGTAGGTGCTGCTATATCTTAGTTTTGCTTTTTCTGTGTGAAGGGACCTAACACAGTAGTAGGTGCTGCTATATCTTAGTTTTGCTTTTTCTAGTCCCTGAAGGTGACTGTTGGTCTCAACAACACAAGCCTCTGCTGTGGTATTCGGTGCTCATCCACAAAGGGGCTAATCCCCTGCCCACCTCCTTTGTGCATTTTCTCTGTATCCACCCAAGCATTTACCACCTTTCTCTAGCAGGTCCAGGACTAGGATATGACGAGAGAGGACACTTGGTGGCTGAGCAGAGAGAGGGCACCTTAGCTGTTTTGCCCTGGGTGTAACTCCATCCTGGGACACTAACTTCCTCTGGCTAGTGTCTGACCTTAGCCAGTGGGGTTATCATCCATTATGCTGAAAAGAGCAACAGAAAACCTGGATTCAGGTGTGTGGGGAGGAAGTGGGAAGGTGGCAATAGAAAGAGACGAGGAGCTAGACACATTCGTTTAAAAGTCTGTTCCAAAAACATCTGACTTCGTTTCTTTACATTGTCAAGAAGGCTTTTAAAGCCCAGCTGCCTCTTATTAATCCTGTTTGGGCTGCTCCCCTTCCCGCCAACCTCGCTCTCGGGCTGTGCCAGCATCAACGGCCCGGTGGAAGCAGAGGGCACGCTGAGTGACGTCAGTGCCTGGGTCTGGCCTTCAGATCTCAGCCCAAGCAGCTGAGAACACAGCACCTTGGTCCCCTTCCAGTGAGAATGTAAAATTCTCTGCCCGCTGCCCTAGAAGGCCCACGGGGCTTGGGGAGACACAGGATGGGAGGGAGATCATAAAGTGTCTACTCTGTGTGACTTGGGGGGTGGCTTAAAGACCCCAGGGCCATAAATACCCCTCAGCATGAGGTAGGGGAAAGGAGCATGGGTCTGGGGGGGCTCACAGAACCCTGAGTTTGAATGCAGGCTTTCGCTAGTTCTGTGATCTTGGGCAAGTTAACCAGTATCTCTGAATGGTATGTTTCTTCCATGGTACAATGTTAATAATGATACCATTT